TATCTGTATCTGAGAGGAAAGCTGAAGCCAATAGTCATTGGAGCATAATAATATTTTCAAAATTCTGCCAAACCTTTCAAGTTGTTGATCTCTGTTTATCCATGTTTTCTGCTTCTTTCCCAATGCTACTTGAATTTTTATGGTATTTGTTTTATGGCTGAATTGGTTTTATTGGTGTTCTTTTCACCGTATTGTACACCACTTTGAGAATTGTACATTGAAAACTACCTAGGAACATTGTTCTCCCATACAGCATCCACCTTTGGGTCCACTCATTATAGCTAAAACATAGTGCTAAGGCCTTATTAGAGGTCTCACCACTACAACGTAGCTAGGCTTCAGGGTACCATCTGACATCTCAGAGATGAAGCTTTTTTTCATCTCCTGAAACTTTTAAAAACACTAATGATTTTTTTCATTCAGCTACCAATGAAGTAAAGTCAGATTTAATGCTAAGGTGAATAATAAATCTCTAGTACTTTCAGATTTGAAAGCAACAGCTAAATGCTTTTGAAAAAAAATTACGTGAACTTGCACTCCATTTGCAGAGAGGAATCAAATTTCAATAGAAAAGAACATCTCACTATCTTTTAACCATAGTCAATTTGATTCCACAGCCCTTTGGAAAAACAATTATTTCTGAAAATGTTATAGCAGGTCCTCTATGACATTAGAAACTGATAGGTAACAATCAGTACAGCTATAAAATCTGTAGAGAGAAACTTCCTAGCAAAGTAAGTCAATAAAAAATTAACTATAACTGGATGTTGATCATTCATGCTGATTGGTAGTTATCAGTACAATCATAATTTGCAAAAATAAATCTCCCTATAGTGGATACGATTGGAATACTTAGGGCTGTGCATGAGTCCTACTGTTCATTCAATGGAAAATTCAGTTCTTCAGGATGGCTTCTGATTTGGTCTGTAGTGATACTGGTTCCCCATGAATCAATTTGCACCCTGGATGCAAAACGATTTGTAAATTCAGATTGGACAAAGCAAAATGGCTATAACTCCCCCCCTCTGTGCCCCGGTCACCATGATGATGGAATTTGAAGAAATAATAGACCCTAAGGAGAGGAATTGGGACATGGTGGCGCTGCAGGCTAAACCGCAGAAGCCTTTGTGTGCTGCTGGGTCAGAAGACCAGCAGTCATAAGATCGAATCCACGCAATGAAGTGAGCTCCCGTCGCTTTGTCCCAGCTCCTCGCCAACCTAGCAGTTCAAAAGCATGTAAATGCAAGTAGCTAAATAGGTACCATCTCGGTGGGAAGGTAAACAGCATTCCGTGTATAGCCGCGCTGGCCACGTAACAGAAACTGTCTTCCGAGAAAACGCTGGCTTGGAAACGGGGATGAGCACTGCTCCGTAGAGTCGAACACAACTGACTAAAATGTCAAGGGGAACCTTTACCTTTTAAGGAGAGGAATGAATTTGCAAAGTCCAGGTAGCAAATTTCAAGCTTTTCTGTACTGGGCATCCTTAAAACAACTGTGAATGAAGTCAAATTTTGGTTTCAGAGTGCATGTTACATCAGTCACTGAGCAAAGCCCTTCTTTGTTCCAAATCACTTACTCCCATAGCCCCCCCCCTTACTGCAGATGTCTGAATTACTGGACTAATCAAATAGCCTTCAATTCACCTCAGAACTAACTTGACCTTTCATCTTGACTCAGAGAATGGTTTCACCATTAAAATTAATCATGAGATGGATCAGGGGGTTTGAAGTTAAAGTTACAGGATAGTCGTGTAGGTTTTGGGTTGGTATGTGTGTCCTCTTTGGAAAGCTTTTACCTTATTTTTAAACTGTGTTGTATATTGGTGAAGGGGGCTACACAGGCTTTTTGAATCATTGCATTTGAGGCTTTGTGCTGCTCCCACCTGCCCTCACACTGGCTGTCTCT